TGAAGCATGTAATCCTCAGAGGCCAGCGGCATGCAAACTTGAACTAAAAGTGTGTATTAATCATGAAAAGGTAGGTAACACATCTTACATGGCTGTAGACATAACTGGACCCCTCATTTTCTTTAAATAGAGAGAATTTGTATAACTCGATTCTTATATGCTAATGAAAATTGATAAAGGTCAATGTGAAAGACAATGGAGAAGGCACGCACCAAACTGGACACTGCTACATATTCTTAATTGAAAGAGAGTTGGAATCATGTCGGATGTTAATTTTACGTGCAGGATGCCCGAGTTTCACCCATGTGTACCCTCTGGGAAGAATATTGGCGGCAAGAAAGTTGTTGATAATTTTTTTGGCAATTTCATGAAAAAAAAAACCTTTTCGTTCATGTTTGTACGGTGTCTAATAATCTCAAGGACATCGTCAGCTAATAATATTATTAAGCGTAGAGGTGATACCTCACACTATTGACTACAGGAACAATGTCATCTGCAACAGAACCAGCTACATTCAAACTACACACCACGTGAACTTTGATTACTTCATTTTAGTTAGAAAATGTTACTAGAAGGCTTAGAACGCGACCAAATTTAATATAATGGATGAAATGTGTAATAAAGCAACAGCTAGATAAGCGGAAGTGTAGTCATGAGCTGATGACAATTACTATTGTATTACACTGTAAAGAAAACTATCACATAAGCTGTTAAAAAAAGTATATAGTTCACCGTACATAAAAGATGGTCAATGTAAACAATAATACTTGTTTTGAAGAGCGGTAACATTGAAATAACTGATAGCTTGCTCGACGGAGAAGCTGACATTTAATATTTATATTTTGATATTTTTGTTTCCCCCCTGGAAAAATTCTCGGTAAGCAACCCTTAACTCCCTCGGAAATTGCCTCCTTTTGAACTTCCCCTCCCAGAATTTCCGTTTTCTTTCGTGGAAGATTATGGATATTTTCTGGAACTACACACTACACTTAGCAGAGGGAGGACATAGAGGAAAAAAAAAAGAGTTTTAAAATACTCCAGCAAAACAACCTTCTTACAGGACAGAAATACAAATTCAACTACTACAAATGCAAACTACAAATGTGTCCCTTTAGAGTGCTCATTGGCTACTGATTCAGATACATTCATTTTTGGTAAATATTATTTCTCCAGAGTAATGTTCATGTTATACATCTTCGTCTTTTTTGTAGGAATAAAATGCTGGTAGAGGGAAGTGATACATGTCCAATTGAAAGATGCATCAGATTTCAACTTGTCAATATGAGAAGGTTAGACAGGGACAGAAGGAATTAATAACCTTCCAACTTCTGGTAGGTTTAACTCATGATACCCCAATAAGGGTTAGCCCAAATAAAAAAAATTGGGGGACCACACGAGGCAAAGAGAACAACTGACCTTGGTATGATTCGCACTGACAAACGACCTTCAAGTTAAATCTGCTGTTGCTGTACTGATTAATGCTGTGAACCCTGCATAGAGCAAGTCGAGGGTAATTTGTGTGGTGGATCACGTAGAGGGAAGAATGTTTAACGCTTTAAACCCTGAGATCAAAATTTTAATTCTCATTTGTTGCCCCCATTAATTTCCTACAGAAGTAGTGGGGAGAAGTTGGTAAAATATCGAGCAAATTCATCTTGTGTGATCATGTCCGTAATTCTCATGACCACTCTTTTTTACAATGCATTGACATTACAAAGAGAAATTTGATGCTGATCACTCTTAGGGCTTAAAGGTTTAAACGTTCTTATCTAATAATCTATTATCTGCCATAGCACTGAGTAGAAAATGATGAAACATACAATTATCTGGAGCTAAGGAAAATCCTATAAACCCCAGAAACGGCATTACCGCTACTTTATTTATGTACTCAACCTTAATAAAAAACAATACTACAATGTATATTTCAACGTTTTGTTATCCTTTCTTTTAGAGTTCCTGTTGCTGCCCAACTACAGTGGAGTTGAGGTATAAGTTGCTACATATTCATGGGTACATTCTGAGCCGCAGCGGATTTCATTCTCGGCATCAGCAAGTGAGTGCTTTGAGTTTTCACATCTTCCACTTCCTAAATTTCCACCATTTTTCATCTTAAATGTCCTCCCTTTTTCTCTTCCATTACAGAGCACATCAACATTCAATTTTATTACCCCAGTCTAAAGTTATCTATGCGGACTGTGAGAATCCTGGTTTCTTTGTTAACATTACTGATCTTTTAGTTTCTTCCTTTTTCCACTTTCAGTTTTAAAGAGAAGGTCCACATTACTCCAATCTAAAATTATCAACACGGACAACGGGAATCCTGGTTTCTAGTTTGGGAACTGATTTTTTGTGGAAATTTGGCGGGGTGTATAGGTGTTGAAACGTATTTTGCGTAAACCGCTGACACTCAAACCGAATTTACACAATAAATTAGGGAACAGAGAAACGTAGGGATACCAATCCAAAATTATTGATGTGGACAACGGGAATCCTGGTTTGTTTGGGAACTGATTTTTTGTGGAAATTCGACAGGGTGTATAGGCGTTGAAACGTATTTTGCGTAAACCGCTGACACTCAAACCGAATTTACACAATAAACAGGGAACAGAGAAATGTAGGGATACCAATCTCAAATTATCAACGTGGACAACGGGAATCCTGGTTTGTTTGGGAACTGATTTTTTGTGGAAATTTGATGGGGTGTATAGGCGTTGAAACGTATTTTGCGTAAACCGCTGACACTCAAACCGAATTTACACAATAAATTAGGGAACAGAGAAACGTATGGATAGCACATGACCTTAATTCGGGAAATCATCAGATACCACTTTCATTAAGATACTTTCCAAAGCGGACACTTATGCTAACTTCTTAGTTTCTTCCTATCTCTACAGGTGATGGTAGCACGCTTTGGGATAGCCAAGAAAACTTTATTTTTCCACTTTCAGTTTTAAAGAGAAGGTCCACATTACTCCAATCTAAAATTGTCAACGCGGACAACGGGAATCCTGGTTTCTAGTTTGGGAACTGATTTTTTGTGTAAATTCGGCGGGGTGTATAGGTGTTGAAACGTATTTTGCATAAACCGCTGACACTCAAACCGAATTTACACAATAAATCAGGAAACAGAGAAACGTAGGGATACCAATCCACAATAATTAACGTGGACAACGGGAATCCTGGTTTGTTTGAGAACTGATTTTTCGTGGAAATTCGACGGGGTGTATAGGTGTTGAAACGTATTTTGCGTAAACCACTGACACTCAAACCGAATTTACACAATAAATCAGGAAACAGAGAAACGTAGGGATACCACGCTAATTCGGGTACTTTTCAAATTGGAACCTTATGTTAACTTCTTAGTTTCTTCCTATCTCTACAGGTGATGGTGGCACGCTTTGGGATTGCCAAGCAAATTCTATTGACCATTCTTTTTTTTCCACTTTCTTTTTTAAACAGAAGGAGGTCCACATTACTTCGATCTAAAATTATCCGAGCGGACAATGGGAATCCTGGTTTCTTTGCGAATTGATTTTTTGTGGAAATTCGACGGGGTGTATAGGCATTGAAACGTATTTTGCGTAAACCGCTGACACTCAAACCGAATTTACACAATAAATTAGGGAACAGAGAAACGTAGGGATACCAATCTAAAGTTATCAACGTGGAGAACGGGAATCCTGGTTTGTTTGGGAACTGATTTTTTGTGGAAATTCAACAGGGTGTATAGGCGTTGAAATGTATTTTGCGTAAACCGCTGACACTCAAACCAAATTTGCACAATAAATCAGGGAACAGAGAAACATAGGGATACCACTTTAACTCGGGAAACTATACGATACCATTTTCATTAACATACTTTCCAAAACAGAAACTTATGCTAACTTCTTCATGAGTTTCTCCTTATCTCTACAGGTAACAATTAAGGGCGATCACCTTCTAGATTCCTGCCCTTTTCTGCCTTAACGTCTTTACCTATCAGATTTTTTTCAAAACGGCCAGCTACTAACATTTTAGTTACTCTTTATCTTTACAGGTAATGGTTGAGCGCATTTGCTTCCTAGATTTCTAACTTTTTACTTTTTTATCTCTAGTATTGTTGTTTTAGACTGTCCACAACACTGGACTTTGTAGGCGTTGACTTTTATTCAGTCTTTCAGGGTCAAAGCAAAGATGTGCCTAATTCTAGCTTAAAATTATTGGGTAGAGATTAGAATCCTAAACCCTGAGTGACCACACACTGCTGCTTTTGCTTCAACTTCTGTATCTTCAAGTTTTAAAGTTTGGCTGGTGAGTATACCACTTTATGAATTTCCTTTAACTTTCCTTTTTAATATCTAGTCAATGATAATTAACCACTGACAGTTGACCATTCCCTGTGCACATATATTCCATGTGGGAGATTTGTACAGAGTTAGATTTAGATTTAGAAAGATCTTAAATGAAAGCTCATTCACCGATTTAGCATTTATTGATAGGCCCTAGATTATGTTGTGAGCTTGTTTATATGCGAAAGCTTTTTATGATTAAAGGCTCGGTGGATATGCTACAGGTCAAAGTTAAATTCAGGTTAAAATTTTTTTACCTAGGTTGATTCTCAATTTTCTTTGTCTCATAGCCCTAATTATTCATGAATTAGGGCTAGAAGTCAAAGGAAATTGAGTGTCAACCCAAGTAAAAAAAATTTAACTTGAATTTAATTTTGACCTGTAACAGATACATCAGCAAACGTTAGTCACACATTACGCAAAGCTTAGGGATACAAAATTAAGTTCAATTAATCAGTTTTCGGTTTAAGCAAAGATTATCGATCAAGCTGATTAATTTTTTTTCTTTCAATTTATTTTAAAAACAGTTTACAGTGGAAACAAGTCGAGATCTCCTGGCCCACAGAACCCGCTTAAAAGTACCTGAAGGATCGGTCTTGTAAGGAACATTTTGAATTAATGCTCATCAGCTACTGCTGCAGCTCTGAGAAGGTATGTTTACACTTGTTTTCCTGGCCTTGCTTACAATGAATATCTTTGCTTATCTTGCAAATGTACCCTTCTATGAGTGTACCATAACAGCTACTGCAAGAGACTATGACCCTCAAGGTGGTGAAATGTATCAAATAACATTAGATTTGAAACAAAAATCTGCCACGATAGAACATTTTTTTCTCTTAAAGAAAACAATCATTAGCCTGTGTACAGATTCCCCCCTCCCCTTAGAAAAAAATGGGGGAGGGGGGCATCTGTAAACAGCCTAAACAATTTTCCCTTGCAATGTACTTGTGGAAGAATTATGAAATATCTGCCAGGACACCAAAAACTGTAATTTTTGCCTTAGAATTCTCCTTTTTTTAAAATTAGCTTACTGCACAGTGCAGATCCTTTGGGTCAAACAGCACCCCACTGAACAGCTCACATGATTAGCTGTGTAAACAATAGGATAACCACACAAACAATAACCCTAACCCTCAACACAAAAGGCAATATTGTTTTAGACGACCACTTAAAGTAGAGTTTCTTGTGAGCTACTGAGCCACTTTTATTATTGCCAATACAGCTGATCAAATCGATTGTAGTGGTTAGTGTCCAGTTGCTATCTTAGATCTGAGAGTAAGGGGGCAGTTGACAGAGTTTTAACAGCTAATTTATAATGCTTCTTTGTTTTATGGTGGTCTGCCAAAGCAAAAGGACAAAAGTAAGAGAGTGGAAGAGGAAGACTAGTAAACTGGACAAGGACATAGGGATAAAACATCGGCCACACTGAATCGAAGTAAGTTTACATGTCTTTCGCCAAGAAAAAATAACGGAAAAAGCTTACTCAGTAAAATGTCTGTCAAAAGGCCCGGAGAGGCTTGTTTTCCCTACACTGTTGAAGGAGAAATACCATGGAGAAGAGAGGCCATTGCTGGTTTGCACGTGACGTCCCGGCGGCCATATTGGAGGTCAAAAACAAAAGCATTTGCCTCCTCTGGTAACTTAACTCTATTTTCATGTAAATTCGTCAGGAAAATATTGTGTTGTATTGACCTTCAACATGGCCGCCTTGTCACGTGGTTGCAAACCAAGAATTGGAGAGGGTTGCTTGATAAATTCTGTTGAAGGGGGTGAAAAGATTACACCAAAGTTTCAATTTAGCGGCCCTGCAGTCCAAAGTCTGATTCAGCCTTTCATGGAGCCATTTGAACTCAATTTTAACCAATAACAGCCCTTTAAAAAGCCTATTCCAGCCCACGCTGGGACGCATTTCAACCCTTGGGTCCAAATTAGCCCTAGATAATCGTACTGTATTGTTGTTGAGAATTCATGTTAACATAACGTTTACCAGAAAACCGATGCCAGCTACCAATAGATGTGGTTAACACTGGATGCTCATATACAGCCATTCACATTCTTAATATCCGATAATTAATGGACAGTTTTAAATTTCTTTCTCATAATTATTAGCTAAACAGGGAAAGAGAACCTTGAGCCCCAATATAGTGTCGCATTTTACAGAGAAGCGGAACTTATCAGAATTGTTGTTCTGTGAAATAAAACTGGACTGTAAGATCAAGGCACTGAATGTGGAACAGAAAGATTGAACCCTAAAGAGCAGTGAATGAATATGCACCTAGAAATGCTACTGGAATTTATGTCCTCTTCAAAGCCATATCAGCAGATGCAATCAAGATTAAGTCACTTTTACAGAAAACATTTCGACAAAATAGAGGATTCTTCAAAACTAACCTTCGTTTTAGGCGGCCGTTTCCTTTTACCATGTAAAAGTCCCGTAGGAAGGACTATGGAGCTTGAGCCTTGGTTCGTACCCAGATTTCCTGCCCGCATTTTTTCCCCTCGGGGTTTTTTGCAATGGGGGCAGGTTTTTTCTGGCCTCCGTCTGACCGCTTTTGTTTCAGTTGTAGACGGTAGCTCAACTCTGACTGATTTCAGTCGTGCTTCGTTGTTCCATTTTTGTGCCTTTCAGTGTCCTCTCAGGTCAGTTGACCCAGAATAGGTTATAAGTTTTGGCGACATAAATTAAGATTTACTTTAGAAGGTACACCTCCTGCCAGAGTTGTGAACTGTATAATATGCGCTTGGCTATTAGCCTGTGTTCTTGGTTGGGTATGTGAGTGATAGCAGTGCTTTGGGAAAGACTGAGAAAACTTGACTTCTTCGCNTAAGTCACTTTTACAGAAAACATTTCGACAAAATAGAGGATTCTTCAAAACTAACCTTCGTTTTAGGCGGCCGTTTCCTTTTACCATGTAAAAGTCCCGTAGGAAGGACTATGGAGCTTGAGCCTTGGTTCCTACCCAGATTTCCTGCCCGCATTTTTTCCCCTCGGGGTTTTTTTGCAATGGGGCAGGTTTTTTCTGGCCTCCGTCTGACCGCTTTTATTTCAGTTGTAAGCGGTAGCTCAACTCTGCCTGATTTCAGTCGTGCTTCGTTTTTTAGCGATATCTTTATGTGTATGGTTGTTCCACTTTTGTTCCTTTCAGTGTCCTCTCAGGTCAGTTGACCCAGAATAGGTTATAAGTTTTTGCGACATAAATTAAGATTGACTTTAGAATGTAAACCTCCAGCCAGAGATGAAAACTGTATAATATGCCCTTGGCTATTAGCCTGTGTTCTTGGTTGGGTACGTGAGTGATAGCAGTGCTTTGGGAAAGACTGAGAAAACTTGACTTCTTCGCAGATTACACGTACACTAACTGGCCATATCGTATAGCAGGGATGGTTCTTGCCAAGCCTTCCAAAAATAAACGTATATGCTTAGACACTATGTCTATTGTTGTTGAGCAGTAAAGTCAAAATTTAAAATAACCATTATTTAACAGTTGGAACTTTCTACATTTAATTAAAAATGTTTTCCTTCATTGGTGTGTATTTTTTTTTCATTGGTGTATATTATTTGTTGTTTACTTCACATATACGCATACTCGAGCGAGTGCTATCTTCAAAGACGTTGAAATCATTCTCAAACGCTAGGTTTTTTTTACCAAAATCACTTTGGAAAAATGCGATTTTTGGCCCTTTCTAAAGGTGTTATTTTTATAATCTACAAAAGGTTACTTTTTTGTGTAGAACGTATTGAAACATTATTTCTAGGCTCATTTTATCCTAAATACAGAAAAATGTAAATTTTTTAAAACAAAATCATGGTTTAACTCCTTTGGGAAAATGCTATTTTTGGCTTTTTTTTAAAGGTGTTATTTTTATAGTCTACAAAAGGTTACTTTTGCGAATTTGCGAATTTCGGCCTTTTTCATATACTAAATGTTATTCACCGGCTGGGAGGTCCGTATTGGGAGAACCTGTGCCCGAGGTCTTGGGTACCCCGTACTCAGACCGAGGGAACAGTTTCTCCCAATACGGACTGACCTAGGCCGGTGAATAACATTCTTTTGCTTTTCCAACTGAGATTTAAAAGTTTCAGGAAAATCTTCCTTCACTCTCCAACCTATGTGTTTTAAAGAAGGACGCGTTCGTGTTAAAGAAGCGCGCGATCGATTGCAAACCAAAAAAAAAACATTACGATTTTTAGCTCGGTAATTTATATTATTGAACTTTTAGCTCTCTTTTAAAATAAAGAAAGATTTCCATCTTTTTATTTCAGGCAAAATAGGCCAGGAAAATGTGTTTCACTATATTCTAGAAAATAAAAACGCCTTTCGAGACTATAAAAACGACCAATTAAAAAGTCGAAAAATTAAGATTTTTCCAAAACAGTTAGTCCATGGTTTTGGTAAAAAATTGGCCATTTTTCAAAATTTTTTTCTTAACGCAATATAGGAGAGGGAAATAAGTTTTACGAAATTCTAGAACGAAAAAACGCCTTTTTAGGCAATAAAAACAAGAAGTTCAAAAAATGGAAAAATTGCCATTTTTCAAAAGGGGTTAGTCCATGGTTTTGGTCAAAATTGGCCATTTTTCCATCTTTTGTGTTAAGGTAATATAGGCCAGAAAAATGTGTTTTACGATATTACAGAACGGAAAAACGCCTTTTTAGGCTTTAAAAACAAGAAGTTGAAAAAGTCGAAAAATTGCCATTTTTCCAAAAGGGTTGGTTCCTGGTTTTGGTCAAAAATTGGCCTTTTTTCCATGTTTTGTTTTAAGGCAATATAGGCCAAAAAA